TCACATCCTGTAATTTCCCCAGTTTCTGAAGAGGGCTATTAGCATAGAAAGGACCCGTAGAATTCCCTACATGTGCCCCTTCCTACCAAAATAAACCCAAAGCAACAAACAGCGCAACCCAGCAGGAACTACAGAAAGCATTACCAACTTCACATACTTCAAAGACAGGAATGGTGGTTACTATCATTCTGATTTCACTAGCTTACTTGGCCAGAGCAGAGGAAATGGGTCTTGGAAAATGAATGTGGATTACAGTCAATCAAATCCTGTGGTGACCTCCAATTTTAGGTGCTGTTCCAGATATGGTCTCCTCATCAACACCATCCCTGGTAGCTAGTATGTATCCATCAAGCTAACAAATGCTTTTCCCCACTCTGTTCCCAAAACAGAACCCAACAGAAGCTGTTTCCACCTTACAGTCTAACATACCTTCATTGTCATAGCTCACTCCTGCTACATTTCACTATCTGGTCCACAGAGACTTCGGGCATCACAACAGCTCACAAGTCCACGCTAGGCCGTTATTACCCCTAGAAAGTATGACTTTTCCTATAGTCCCATATCCCTATCTACACTTGGCACTATTCAGCTTTCCATTTTTTTGCAACCTAACAGGTAAAAGATTTTCCATTACTGTTTTAATTTGCATATATCTGATTATTAATGTCACTTCTTCTTATGTTTGTTAGCACTTCCTATTCAATAAACTACATACCAATATCCTTTACCAGTTTTTCTAGCAACTACTGACCTCTTATTGTTGATGTATAGTAGGAGTCCCTTGTCTAGACAGGTAATAATCCCTTGTCAAGTATAGGCACTATAAATATCTTCTCTCATTCTTTTGTCTGCCTTTTGCTGAATGAAAATCCATAATTTTTATATAATCAAACTCATTCATTTTTCACCCTTAAAAGCTTCTGAGCCGGGTGCAGTGGCTCTTGCCTGTAATCCCAGCACTTTGGGAGGCGGAGGTGAGAGGATTGCCTGAGTCCAGGGGTTTGAGAGCAGCCTGGGCAACTTGGCAAGACCTCGTCTCTACAATAAATCAAAAAATTAGCCAGGTGTGGTGGTATGCACCTGTAGGTCCAGCTACTGGTAAGTCTGAGGCAGAAGAATGGCCTGAGTCCAGTAAGTCAAGACTGCAGTGGCCGTGAGCGTGCCACTGCACTCCAGCCTGGGCGACAGATTAAGACTCCAACTCAGAAAGAAAAAGCTTCTGAAGCTTTAATAAGTCTATTCCTGTCCCTAGAAAAAGAGATTCCTTAACATTTTCTATTAACTTTATAGTATTTCTCTTCACATTTAGGTCTTTAATACATTGAGTTCATCCTGCTAATAGTTTTAAATCTGTTTTTCTCCATATAGTGAGCCATTCTCCCTAACAAATAATTCCTTTCTCCTAAGTCTCTGCCCTCTAATTTGTTCCCTTGGTCTATTTTTCCTTGTTCTTGCACTTATACCAGTTTTTATTACTACATATTATCTTAACTTCTGACAAGGCAAATCCCTCTCCACAAAAAATTTAGTTAGTTATTCACAAACTTTATTCCAACCAACATATAAATTTTAGATTTAGGTTAGATTGAGTTTGTCAGACAAACCAAATGTAACTCTGACAGCATTTAAATTGCTTACAGATTAAAATGGAGAAAACTAACATTCTTATAAGTAATTTGATCCAAGAGCATGGAAAATTGTACCACTTTTTTTTTTTAAGTTGAAGTCTCCCTCTGTCGCCCAGACTGGAGTGCAGTGGCTGCTCCCGGCCACTGCAGCCTCGACCTGCTGGGCTCTGGCGATCCTTCCACCTCAGCCTTCGGAGTAACCGGAATTACAGGCACACGCTACCATGCCCGGCTGATTTTTTTATTTATTGTAGAGATAAGGTCTCACAAAGTTGCCCAGGCGGGTCTCAAACCCGCGAGCTCAGGCAATCCACTCACCTCAGCCTCCCAAAGTGCGGGATTACAGGCTGAGCCATCGAGCCCGGCTAGTACCACTTATTTAGAGCATCTTCTAGTTTCTTTGTAAAAGTTTTCTCCTTAAAGGTCTTGAGTACTCTTTCTTGGATTAATTTCTAGAGAATTTATAGTTTTATAGTTATTATTGTATACAATATTATAAACAACCTTTACTAGTTGTTTATCACTAGTTTAGTAAATGCTATCAAATTTATTAAGTTGACATTAAATTCAGCAATCTTGCTGAATTCTTACTAGTTCTAACAGTTTCTTGATTTTAATGATGCAGCTAGGTATATGATCATATTATCTGCAAATTTGAATTTTATCACTTCTCTTACAATCTTTATACCTCATTTTTTCTTGCTTATTGTGTTAGCTAGGACCTTTCTTAACATGATAAACAATAGTAGTGATGGGGCATCCTTTCCTTGTTACTGATCTTTAAGTAAATGTATCTAAAATTTCTCCACAAATATTATTTACTGTAGGTTTTTGGTAAGGACTTTTAACAAGTTCTCTAGCTTGCTAAGAGTTTTTAATAATAAATAGGTGCTGGATCTTAATGAATGATTTTTATGGCACTCAAGATAATCATTTTTCTCCTTAAGTCTATGTTTGAGATAAAAGATAAATAGATGTTAAGCCATGCATGCTTGCTAACTTTGAGGACCATGATTCTTTTACCACATTGCTGGATTTGATGAGCTAGTATTTTGTGCTGGACTTTCATTTCTATGCTAATAAGTGAAACAGACCCATCATTTTCTTCTTAATTTATCCTCATCTAATTTTAGAATCAAGATTTCGCCAGACGTAGTGGCTCAAGCTTATAATCCCAGCACTTTGGGAGGCTGCGGGTGAGAGCACTGCCTGCCCACGGGTTCGAGACCAGCCCGGGCACCTTGGTGAGACCTCATCTCTACGATAAATCAAAAAATTAGCCAGGCATGGTAGCTCATGCCTGTAGTTCCGGCTACTTGGAAGGCTGAGGCGGAAGGATCACAGGAGCCCAGCAGATCGAGGTTGCAGTGACCATGAGCATATCACTGCACTCCAGCCTGGGCAACAGAATGAGACTCCGACTCAAAAAAAAAAAAAAAAAAGTGGAGAACTTTACTATATCAGTTTATTAAATATCAGTCAGTTAAGGCTCTCTCTTCTGGTACCAATTTACATATTTAATAGTTTTTTTTTAATTATACATTTTCTGTAGGCTTTCAAATTTATTAAACTATAGCAATTCATAATATTATTTTTTAAAAATATTATATTTGGGCCAGACGTGGTGGCCCAAGCCTGTAATCCCATCCCTTAGGAGGCTGAAGTAAAAGGATCACTTGAGCCTAGGAGTTTGAGACCAGCCTAGGCAACACAGCAAAACCTTGTCTCTACAAAAAAAGAAAGATCAAAAAAATCACTGGGCATGGTGGTATGCACCTATGGTCCCAGCTACTCAGGGAGGCTGAGGCAGAAGGATTGCCTGAGCCCAGGAGGTTGAGGCTGAGGTAAGCTGTGATCTCCGGCCTGACAGAGTGAGACCCTGATTCAAAAATTATATATATATGTAGTTATCGTCCAGTTTTCACTTATTTTATTTGCATATTTTTTCATTGATCAATCTTATCAGAGAAGTGCTTAGCTTATTAATCTTTTCAAAGAACAATCTTTTGGGTTGGCAAGTCCTTTTGTTCTCAATTTCACTAATTTCTGCACTTACTCTTATGCTGCTTTTTGAACTTTTCAAATCAACTTTAAGTATTAAAGCAAGCTTCCTTCAACATTTAGGTAAGACATCCTGCTCCTCTGTACAACACAGTCTTCAACATACAAACTAATATTATAAACATTATTCTCACATACTCGTTCATAATAGGGAAAAAATTCATATACTAATCTTACCAATCAAACCTACATGTCAATATCTCTGACTAAAGCAGAATCTTGAAGCTAAGTAAATAAGCTTATGTGCTGTTCACACACACACACACACACACACACACAGAAATTTGTGTAAGGCTGTGACTCTATATCTGCTTCAAGGCAAACATTTTCTCTGCACAGCTAACTGGACAATTACTGGTACTGCTAGATAAAATTAGTAACTAGAAATGAAATCACCAGTTGCTTTACCAGATGCCATTTAAAACTTGCAGTTAATAATAGGAGAGAAAAACCTGGCTGTGACAGTCACATTCATTTTCACCACCCCAACACCACCAAAAAAAAAAAAAATCCATGCAAAGCAAAAGCATATACACTTCCTAGTTATGGAAGCATACAACCCGGTTGGAGGCAGTTTCCAATTACAAAACAGATATTGGTCTTAAATCTTTCACCTGCCAGTTGCGCGTTAAGGCAGATCACCAACAAAACAAAGTTCAACAAGCAACAGAATCTTAGGTTTGGACACACGCTGAATGGTTTATTCTTATGAGTGCAGGATCTAAAAAGTGAGTTTAAGTATTAGCTTCGAAACGATGTCGTAGCTCCCAGTGCATTGGGAAGTAACTCATACATTTCCCTAGCAGGATGCAAAGGCGTACACAGAATAGAAAGAACAAGGTGTAGATATAGGTTAACTTTCAAAGTCCTGATCAATTTAACACAAACTGGCTAAAAACACAAGAACGTAAGTTACCAGATTTCTTTTCTCTGGCTGCAAAAACAAGACTGAAGGCCTCTCTCTAACGAAACTCAGACGGTCTTATTTTTGAGGGTGAAACTTTAAGGGGAGACGGATGAGAAAAGAGCTCCCTAAGGTGGACAGCCAGTTGTGATAAGGATCGCGTTTGTAGAACTTGGGGCTGCGTACGTACCAGGCTGTCTCTCCCTAGGCCAGGTAATACAAGAAGCCAGGGCCGCTCAGGCACTGGCCGCCGACACCAGACGAGGGGGGAGGGGCGGGGAGAGAGGGAAGGAGAGGAGAGACCCAGGCCTCGAAACAAAGGACGCAGGGCTGCTCCAAGAGGGGGTGGATTCGGCGTCCGGCCGGGGAGGAGCAAACCAAGGTTGTCTGGGAAAGGCTAGACTCACAGAACTTGGAGGTGGAGGTGTTGATGTTGATGGTGGAGCTAGGGGTGGGGGCGGGAACCGCCTTGGCCACGGCGGCGGCCGCGTCGCAGCTCTTCAACATCATGATCACCCCATTGGCCTCCGGCGGTGGCGGCGGCCCCATCGGGAGCCCCTCCTTGGGGCCCTTCCTGTCCACAGAGACCGCGGGCACCGCCAGCAGCTGCCCCCCCGGAGGCTCTCGGGCAGGGACTGGGATCGACGAGGGGGGCGGCGGGGGCGGCGGGGGCTGCCGGAAGCCGTCCACGGCGGCCTCCCAGTTGTTGTGGTTCTGGTCGTCCATCATCGCCTCGAACATCGCCTCCTCTTCCATGATTTCCTCCATCCTGCTGGCCCCCGGCACCCGCCCGCCTCACGGGCACCTGCCGCCCGTCTCAACCCCGGGCCAGGGGGCACCACGGCCTCCTCGAGTTCACATCGCCGGAGCCGGAACGGACGCGGCGGGGAGGGCAGCGGGGCGCCGGGTTCCTCACTGTCCGCGGGGCCGCGTCGCTTGGAGACACGCTGACGGCTCTGGGCGCTCCGGGGCTCCGGTCTGGGAGAGGCAGCCGTAAAGCGGCGTTGCCTCTCACGACATTTTACAGCGGCTTCAACAGGCAGTTGGAAAGGGCAGCTAGGGGAACGGCCAGGAGGGCACGTGGTGCTGTCGAACGGCCGCGAGAAAGCGGAGCGAAAAGGGGCGGAAGCTGTGAGTCACCCACCACGCAATAGGGCAGAGGTTGGACCCGCCTCCGCTGGCCCGGCGCTGAGAGGGGTGGGGCGAAGGGTTGTGGGCGGGCATTCGTCGGCCCCGCCCCCGGCGCGGCCTCACGTGGTAAAGGGGTTTGGCTGCGCACGCGCCTTTTCAACCTGGTTCCCAGGACGACGGGAAGGTGGCCGGCTCCTAACGATGTGCGCAAATCCGGCTTGGCGGTCGCTGTGGCACTGGCCCGCCCTTTGGAGGTGTTTTTCTGGCACCTGCTGGGTCTACTAGGCCTTCGCACTTCCAGCCTTTGCTTGGGACGGAGCTACGAGGCCACAAGAGGCCCAGGGTCGCAGATTATAAACCGGTGGGATCGCCCTGCGCGGCGCTTGGTCGGACTGGACTTGGGCCCCATTCTCGGTTCTTGTGACCCAGACCCTCAAGACCGAGAATAAAAACCGAATCAGGCCGGGCGCGGCGGCTCGCTCTTATAATCCCAGCACTTTGGGAGACCGTGGTGAGAGGATTGCCTGAGCCCACAGGTTCGAGACCAGTCTGGGTAACTTGGCGAGACCGCTTCTCTACAATAAATCAAAAAAAGTTACCCAGGTGTTGGAAGGCTGAGGCGGAAGGATCATCTGAGCCCGGCAGGTCGAGGCTGTGGTGGTCGTGAGCAGCATGCCACTGCACTCCAGCCTGGGCGACAAAGTGAGACTCCAACTTAAAAAACAAAAAAAAACGAATTATACTTGGCAGAGTGGCAAAAAAAAAACCGCATTTGAGATATTCATAGGCGTTTTTAAAGTCCTGTAACTCTCCTTCCTATACACTAAGGCCAGAAAACCAACTTTTAAAAATGACAAGCTTCTTGTTCTGCTTCACAAGTCTGACTGCAGATTGGAGGCTGTGTGTGAGTGCCAAGTGCCTCAGAGTAAATTTGCATTATCAAATTATAGTGATAGTAGTGCTATATTATATGAGAATATATATAATTGTTTATTACGTGGCTTATTCTTAAACTACTGGTGATAAGGAAATTGTCTAAAAAAACCCTCTTACATTTAAGTCAGCAGATAATCTTTATTTCCACAAGGTATGCAATTGGTGTGAAGAATCCCTTCAGCCACTGAGAAATTGTCACCTCTAATGCACTCTATCCACATTTGTTTCAGCTTCTCTACGTATATATCTTTTTCCCAATATATTCTGCACTATGTTTAATGAAACATTTTTACCAATCACTTGAAATGATTTTATTTCAGACAATGTTGCCTCATATTAATCAATGACTTTTTTTAACAGCGTGTTTTTAATTATCTGGCCCTGCAATGTTTGGGGATACAAAAAAGATTTTTTTTAAGTAAAAGAGAAGTGATATGCTTAAGGAGATAATCATAAAAAGTATTAGAATTCCATGTGTGGCGAAAGAAAGATGAAGGAAGACAAACTACATCTTTTTCAGACAACCTATAGTTTGTTTTCAACAGACTCTAGATAGATGGGTTTGACTGGAGATAAAGAAGGGTCTCTAAATAATAAAAGATCCAATACTCAAGGAAGATATGAGAGTCATAAAAGTGTCTCTAATGACCTGGCCACAAAATACATGAAGCAAAAATTGACAAGTACAAGAAGAAAGAGAAATCTACCATCAGGTGATATTTTACATATCTCTCTAATTGCAGTGAATTGAATATGGCCCCCCACAAGATATGTCCATGTCCTAATCCATGGAGTTTGTGATTGTGACCCTATTTAGGAGGGTGTTTGCAGATTTAATTAAAATTTTGAAATGAGAATATCATCCTAGATTATCCAGGTAGGCCATAAATCCACTGATGTGTCATTTAAAAAAAAAAAAGGCAGAAGGAAATTTGACAGACAGAAGACACAAACAGGAGGAAGTAAAGTGACCACAAAAGCAGAGCTTGGAGTCATGCAGGCACAGTCAAAGAATGCTGATAGCCACCCAAAGCTGGAAAAGACAAAGAATGCGTTATCTTGAACCTTCAAAGGGAGTGTGACCCCACCAACACCTTGATTTCAGACTTCTGGTTTCCAGAACTGTGAGTAAATACATGTCTGGTTTTTTAAGCCAGCAATTTTTTTTACAGCAGTTAGTTACAAGAAACTAATACATAGGTCAGAGGGATCAAAAAATCTTTAAAGGACTAGAAGAGCTGAATAACACAATTAGCATGGTTAATCCAATAGATACGTGCAGATTTGTCAACTGCGGAGTATACATTTAAGAATATGTAAAACAATATATACATATTAAAATATACAAACATATACATATAAAGTTTATATATAATTGTTTTTAAAAATTGAAAAACAATAAAAGAATATGTGTTTTGTTTTGTTTTGTTTTGAGTCAGAGTATCACTCTGTGGCAAAGGCTGGAGTGCAGTGGCATGCTGCTCACGGCCACCATAGCCTCAACCTGCTGGGCTCAGGCAATCCTTCTGCCTCAGCCTTCCAAGTAACGAACTGCAGGCATGCGCCACCACAGCTGGCTATTTTTTTATTTATTGTCGAGACGAGGTCTCACCATGTTGCCCAGGCTGGTCTCGAACCTGTGGACTCAGACAATCCTCTTGCCTCCACCTACAGTGGCTCATGCTGGGATTATAGGCATGAGTCACTGTGCCCGGATAGAATGTGTGAAACATTTACAAAACTTGAACATACTGGGTCATAAAGCAAGTCCCTCTGCATATCTATGGATTGCTATCATAGCAACCAAATTTTCTGATCACTATGTAGTTAAAAATAAATAACCAAAAGATAACAGATAATTCCCATGTTTCTACTACTCCAATCAATTCCTGGGTTAGAAAATCATAATGGAAATTAGAAAACATTTAAAGCCTTGCTCCAGGGGTTTTTATCCAGCACACTGGTGGTTACTGGACCCTTCACTGTGTACTGTCAAAATGAAACCCGTCCAATTTCCCCATGGAACTGATATTTTGAGAGGCTTTTGAATAAACCTAGAAATTGACCCTTTTGGTCTTAAAACTTAAAACTTACATTTGTCTTATTTGAGTTTCTTCCTCAGGAAACAGGCCCTCTGGCAATGGACTGAAACTCACCAGATTATCACACCCAGACAAGGAGACAGAGGGAAAGCTGTCATAAATAAGAAACACTACCTACTAAAGAGAAACCAAATGAACATAGTGATAACTGGTTGATTTTGTGGCATTATGAGACATTGTTATATTTGTTATATTATGCTTTAAAGTATATCATATTTTAATAGTTATTAACTTAAACTCTTTAATGAAGTGAAGACGTGGCATAACATTATTAGCAACACTGACCCAGCAGTGCACACAGGTTAATAATGGCTACAACTTTCCATAGTCACATATATTCATCTATTTGTTTGATTTTTTTGATTTATTTTTCCCACTGAGTTTCATTAAAGCAGGATAAATATATATGTAAGATATCTGTGTATGTTTGTATCCTTAAAGAGAAGACCAATTCAAAATATCAATAGCAGTTATCTAGGGGTAATGGGGTTATGGATATTTTTAATCTTTTTAAATTTTTTAATGTTTTCTTTGTTCTCCCTACAGTAAGCATGTATCATGTTTGTAATCAGAAAAAAATTCCAAACCTGAAAGATTAAAGAATTAACAAAAACAACAGTAAGGAACTACAAATTGAGATTACATGGGTTAAACTGTTTTGGCTTACAGAAACAGAAACCTCAAATAAATATGTCTTTAAAATCAAGGATATTCACTGGCTAGCAGACTGAGAAGGTCTGGGAATGGCAAAAGTGAAGCAGGGCTCAGCAGGGGCTCAGCTCTGCTTGTCTGCAATGTCCTTTGTCCCCCTCTTGTGCAGCCTTCACCCCCAGGCTGCGGGCAGTAAGGCTGCCACAGCCCCAAGCCTTATGTACATGGACACGAAAGTCAAAATGAAGAGGGCCATGAATTCTGGTAGCCCTCTATTACCAACAGATTCTTTCCCAGAAGCCCTCACCAGCTTCCTCTCAAAGTCTCATCAGTGGACTCCTAAACCAACCCACATGGCACTTAGACCTAGATTCCAAAGCTCTCTGCTGGAAAGGGCATGGATTTATTCCTGGAAAATAAGACCCATCTCTGGAACCCAGAGTGGCATCAGTTTCTCCTAAGTACATTGTGTGAGCGAGGACAGGGTGAATGTAAGAATACATATTGGGGTCAATTTGGGAGGTTTCAATGGGTGCTGAGTAGGCAGAATGTTCATTGTAGGCTGAAGTACCTAATCCCCTAGAATCCCTTAATTATCTAACCTTACCTCAATCTCTTGACTTCTTGCCCTTCATACATCCCTCCCTAATCAATATATTTATGCAGAATTATGTCTGTACTGATTAAAATCAAGAAAGATATAGCTCATGTTTATTTAATTACAGTGCATATGTGGCTAATTGTCTAGAATAGTTAAAAAGGGGACTGTGGAGACTTTGTCGCTAAGAATTAGTCTTTGTGTGGCTTTAAACATGTCAGTGTCACTTTTTCACAGAATATTTATCTGTAATTGTTGGATTTTTTTTTTTTTGAGTTGGGGTCTCACTCTGTTGTCCAGGCTGGAGTGCAGTGGCATGATCACACTATCACAGCTCACCACAACCTCAACCTCCTAAGCTTAGGTGACCCTTCCACCTCAGCATCCTGAGTAACTGGGACTACAGGAATACACCACCATGCGTGGCTAAATTTATGGGTTTTTTTGTAGAGACAAACTTTCACTATGTGTGCCCAGGCTGTGTTCAATATATTTTAATGACTGGCTTAAATTTGCTTGAAATTCTATTTTATATCAACAGACTTTTTCTTTTGTCAGCTCTTATAACATAGTCTGTACTCTGAGATACATTTTTCCCTACAAGAAAGTAAAGTTTGTTATGCAATTTTTACATATTTCCATCTGTCCTACCCGCCTAATTATGGCATTGTTAATGAAGGATGAAATTACTCAGAAGTGAGCAATAAGAAGAAAGAAGAGGAGAAAAAAATGAAAAGCATTACAAATCGTACATGCCTCTTCTAAGTAGTTAAGAACTATTAAATCAGAGAAGACTATAGTAGATGACATACAGACA